TGCCTTTCAGCTTTTTGGCATCCAAAACGAATGAAAACCCTTGAACAACCCTCGCGGCAATGCCTTTTCTCGAATGACTTCCAGATCTTGTTGTTTTGTCTGCTCCTTCGACAAAGGCAAACGCTCTGAAGCTTCCGGGGGATTTTGAAGCTCTGCAGAAGGGTCTAAAAGCTCTTTGGACCTTTATTCTTGTTATTCTATGCGTTTGCTCCCCGTTTCTTTTCTGCTGACTACCCCTGCCCATCACTACTTCTGCAAATGCCACTGCTATCATCGCCACAAGTCCCACTATAGTACCCCTTTCAATCCTTCCACTCCTCCCACTCCTCCGTCCTACCAATTATGTCGTTCCCTCATTTCGCAATGAAAACGCACTGGTCGAGCCACACCCTGTGATCGAACATTCCTCGATTTACTATGCCCGCCCTCCAGAATCAAATCCTGTTTGGAGGTGCTCCAGTGTCAAAAAAACAGGTCCAACCTCTTGTTTGGTATTTCTTTCCACACCTTGGGGAGCCTTTAGTATCTAAAAATAGGTACGCCTATAGGCCGACAAGGAAAGGATTGAAATAGAGAAAACACACGTGTTGCAACTGTTAATTGAATATCAGCCTAGCAATCAACAAATGTAACCTTAATGAGCCTTAGCATTCTTGAGTTGTCAATCCCCAGTGCTTCGCTTCACTGCTTGTGAAACATCATGTTGCTTTGCTTCAAGACCTGGTAACTAGTGACCTGAACAACTTCACAGCAGTACACCAAAGTGCCAGTGCACACACTCCATTGCAGAAGCCTTCTAGGCAACACTGTAGGCTGGAGAGAGTAGAGTACACTGAACGCATTGGGAGAAGAGTATCCAAAACCTATGAAGGTTATATAGACACTACAGTGTGCACGCTGCGTCCAAGTTGAAAAAAATGTATTGCAGAACCACTCGGCATGGACTGCGCTTGAGAACGCAAGGCAAGTGCAAGGGTGCAAGATTACATTGGATGCAACAGTGCGCACACACACAGAGCTTTGCCAAACAAATGTTGCTGAATCATTGTCCTCTAAACTCCGGGCTCAAATCGCAAGTGGTTCAAATCACAACTGGTGGTTGAGTTCAGACATTGCCCTTCACAAACTAGAAAGGGCATACATATGTAGTGGTAAATTGCATTGACAATATGTACTCACAATTTAAACCAGGGCAGAAACAACGGTCCACAAAAGCATTGCAAACAAGCTTTGTTTAACATGTTGCAATGCCAAGACCACTGTGCACACACTGCACAAAAGCCTTGCATATCATGCAATATGCATTAAAGGAGCTATCCACACAGCACTCAATGTAGAGAGGTGTATGCAGCGTACACTACACATTAGAAAGACTGTGTGCAAACACAATCACAGTCGCAGTGTGCACGGGCAGAAAAATGTGCGGTCCATGTACTGCGACAAGCAACACAAACGCCACAACGTTCTGAAGAAGATAAGTTCCAAACAAACCCATCACGTGCACATGGTGTCTCTCAAATCCGCTCGCACCGAAGGTGCTGTGGCGTGTGTATCCGGGTGGCATAGTCAATCGCAACATTTCAACTTTAACTGGGGGGGACCTTTATCGGCCAAGAATCCTGAGTGTTTGAAAGTTGTTGAGAGTCGAGCGCAAAAAAAACGTCGTAAATATCAGCACTTGATGAAGGTTTTGGAGCAAATGTTTGAGGCGTTCTTGAAAAAGTTAAAAGAACGTTGGTTTTTTAAAGATATGGATATGGTCAAGAATCCGCCGACCCCGGCGTGACTGTTGACAAAAAGACCGGGAACGAATAAGGCTAAGGCTAATCATATAAGTAAAGGCTAAAGCTATACCTCCCCTACCCCTCCGGAGCTTGGCTTAAGTGACGAAAAGGTCGCGAAGTTAGCCAAGAATCTCTCCACCCACGGGGGAAAATAAGCACGGTCCCTAAATGGTCCCGGGCTCGAATCCCGGCCTGGTTGCGGCCTGGTCCCTGCCAGTGCCCTTGGTTTTTCCTAGATTTTGTAACGTTTTCCGCTGGATTTCTAGGATTTTCAAAGTTTTTTGTAAGATTTACTCATGCCTTTTTCGATGGCTTTTCCGGGATTTTCTATGGTTTTTCTGGGAAGTTCTGTGGTTTCCTGAGATGTTCCTCTCTTTTTTCTAAGGTGTTTTCGATGGTTTTTTCTAGGAGTTTCTCCTCTTGCGCTCCGCACGTGCAAGCTTTTTCTGCTCTTTTCTAGTGCTGTGCTCGCATTCTGCAAGTGTGCCGGTGGAGGCTTTTGGGTTCCCAGATTTTCAAAGAAGAATGCTAACCCATTTGCCGTGCTCTCTTCTGCCTACTTTGCGCCGACCCCGGCCCGCTCCACCTTTGGGAACACGAACCTGGTTCTCCCACGCCTACAGCTCTGCTGCAAGGTTCAGGCAAGACACTCGCACACAAACAAAATGCCTCACTCCAGACTTCGCTGTCGCAGTGCCCTGGCTGGCAGACACATGGGCAACACCCTGCAAATGGTTTACTCAAAGCTTCGCTGCTGCAATACTCTGGCTGGCAGACAGAAGCAATGTCCATACGCCTACATATTGAACCGAATGGCCTGGGAAGGCTCTCTGATGTGGGTGTCGCTGTTACGCAACTCTCAGCGCGGACAGCGACACTCCCATACCGTTGACTCAACTGCACCATGATCGCTTCCACGTGTGAAAGGCACCAGGCGTGCCAGAGATAGGCAAGAAACATAAAGAGCAAAGAAAGAGGAGAAAACAAACAGCACCCCCGCAGATCATTGCCCAACACGACGCCGCATACCACAGGCAAAGGGCGGGGAAAGGCACCAGGCGTGCCAGGGATAGGCAAGAAACGTAAAGAGCAAAGAAAGAGGAGAAGCACCAGAAAGAAATCATAAAGGACAGGAAGAGGGTGGTGAAGGAAAGAAAAATATGAGCCAAAATGAGAATGGACCAGGAGGGATTCGAACCACCCAATCCTTGGGCCAATCCTGAGGGAAGGAGGCTCGAGCTTCTTCCATGCCTCAGGAGAGGCCCAACGCCTTAACCATTAGGCCACTGGCCCACTGTCTCTATGCTTTTGGATTTCCTGTCCTGCACTTTGCGCATGAGTTTTCAAGGGCAACACTGGGGCTTAAGGTTTGTGTGTGTGCGCTCCATGTTTGCTGTCAGGGGCCTTGCTTTCACCATTTGCCGTGCTCTCTTCTGCCTACTTTGGTGATGCAGTGACAGATCATGTCTCTAGGGGTTCCGTGTTGTTTTTTGGGTTCCCCGATTTTTCGAAAAAAACTCTTAACCCATTAAACCTAGGCCATCCACTTCCCTGGGGGTCCGCGGCTGCCAGGCGCTAGCCTGGTTAAATAGCCAGGTAAAACCGGCATCATTAACCAACACCACATGGTGCTCTAGCTGGCTAGGGGGTCGTATGAGCCAGGTAGAACCGGGGTGATGGAATTCTATGTATTTTTTTATAGCACTCAGAACATCTGTTGAAAAGCAGTTTGAATATAGCCACCACCAGTGCTTGCAACGATACTATAATGCCACAGATACCGTCAGATACCGCAACGTCACCACAACCATTTCTCCCAGTGCGGGTGGACCCAGCCGCGTACCAGCCCGAATACACAGTGGCACAAAAAGAATTGATGCACCTGGTCAAACACCTGGACCGAGGTTGACATAAAAATGATACTACGAGCAAGGACGCTACTAGGGGCCCCTGGCCGTACTAGAAACAAGAAGCTACTAGGGGCTCCTGGCATCGCTACTAGGAGCATTCTTACTACTAGTAACAAAAAAGCAACCCCAAGCCAGGCAAGCCTTCCGCGTCTCGCTGAAGGCTGATGCCAATCGACCATCGCGAGCCGCTTTGAGGAGTGTATCCCGAGCCTTACGGTTCATAGCACACGTGAAAAAAAACGACATGGATCGCTAATCGAATGACCTCGCGGCGCAGCGACTCCACATCAGGTTCTTTCGGCTCCACTTCAGCCTGATTTGCACAGTCAACTTGGTTCGATCAGAACACCTACTTGGTTGAATCTGCCTTGTGAACCCCTCAACTAACCCCACCGTTTTAAGGCTTTTGAAAATTGAATAAGAATCCAACAAAGCAATTCTGCCTGCTTGCTGGGGGGAAGACTTCCTTTGGTGTTAACAGATTTTCTTCACTTAGTCCCTTTCTTGCACTTTTGGCAAAAAGTGCTTGATCCGTTTGCTTCATCCCCAACCAAACCTTCACCTCATTACTGCAAAATGCTCTCCAGAAATCTTTGAGAAAAGAGTTGTACTTTCTTGATCTTGAACAATCTTGTCGTTTCAATTTCAACCCTTCTGCCAGCCAAAACTTCTCACATGACTGTCCTTCATCCCTAGCATATCTGCACTGCAAAGCTTGCAACTTTGGCCAAGTACTGAGTAGTGTTCATCTTTCCCTCAAAATGACAGACAGCTCCCTTAGCCACACATTTCTCGCTGCTAACTTCTGCTGCCTTCCGCATCTCGCTGAAGGCTGATGCCAATCGACCATCGCGAGCCGCTTTGAGGAGTGTGTCCCGAGCCTTACGGTTCATAGCACACGTGAAAAAGAACGACATGGATCGCTAATCGAATGACCTCGCGGCGCAGCGACTCCACATCAGGTTCTTTCGGCTCCACTTCAGCCTGATTTGCACGGTCAACTTGGTTTGATCAGAACACCTACTTGGTTGAATCTGCTTTGTGAACCCCTCAACTAACCCCACCGTTTTAAGGCTTTTGAAGATTGAATAATAATCCAGCAAAGCAATTCTGCCTGCTTGCTGGGGGGAAGACTTCCTTTGGTGTTAACAGATTTTCTTCACTTAGTCCCTTTCTTGCACTTTTGGCAAAAGGTGCCTGATCCGTTTGCTTCATCCCC